CAGAACGTCAGTGTGAAATGATTGGCTTCAATGTCTGATTTAGCTGCCATTATTTGCTCAATCGACATCATGGGAAGGTTAGGTAGAGGAATGACAGGAAGAGTAAGAGTAGGGGCACTCGGTCCAGCAGAGCTTATGGGATCGTTCAGGTCCCAAAATAGAGTGAGGGGATGGGATGAGGAAGCCATGGTTTAGAGGTGAAAGGTGTCAAAGAAATGAGTTGCAGAGCAATAGAAGCGAACAGATTGAGGTTTGGCCTCCTCCATTCAGTTTTTTTGTCTCTTGATGAGGAAGAAGAAACAGATGAGAGTGATGAAGAAGAGATAGAAGAGAATGATGAAGAAGAAAATGGAAGAGTGCGCGATTTAGAAGAAGGCTGAAGAGAAGAGGCTGAAGAGAAGAAGATAAGGAGGGCGAGATAGCTACGGCGAGCAATAATCGAGGAGAGCGGCTTTTGTCGGCCAATGAAGCAAAAGCCAGGCCGCGTGGAAACCAAGTTTTGCGAAAAACGTGAGCGACGCGAGAGAGTTGTATATGTAATATATATATATATATATATTTGTTGATTGACCGTTGATTGATATATTGATATATATATATATATATATATATATTTGATGCCATTTATCACTATCATTTTCCTCCTCCTCCTCCTCCTCCAGATTCTGAGCCATAATTTCCTTTTTGATAATGTCACAAGGGGAGAAAATTATATGATGTTATGTATTAATGTTATGTATTATGGTATTATTTTCAAACTAATCTAATGTTATGTATTTATAGTTTGATACCTTAATCTTATATCATGTTATTAATTAAAGCTTATTTATTACACATGTGTTAACCTATTTATTTAGAAATGAATTCAGGGAGCATGACTTGAGGGGAGCCCTTGTTACTCTCAAATCAAATCAAAACATCATTGTGTGCCATCATAAAAAAGGGGGAGATTGTTAGACTTATTTATTTTGATGATTTATTTAATTATGTTTTAATTTATTTGAAAGAGAAAAATAGAATCAAAATTTATTTTGTCCCATTATTTCTTACCTAAAACTTTTATCATAAATGTTGTTAGAATGTATTTAATATTTGATTAAATCAGGAGTTCAAACAGCCCAAAACAAAGGTTCAAACAGCCCAGCACAGCAGCATGCCAAAAGGTTCAAAAGGTTCAAGTGGAAGATATTCAAATTAGTAATGATGGAAGTATAATGGTTATAAACAGCTATAAAGGTTCAAAAGGCCAAAAGGTTCAAAAGCTTTAAGTGGAAGATATTTAAATTTGTAATGATGGAGAGGAAGAAATTTAAATTAGTAATGATGGAGTACAACGGCTATAAACGACTATAAATTCAAATGACTACAACAGCTATAAACGGCTATAATTTTCATTATATATACCAAAGCCTCTAGTGTAAACAAGTTACAAAAACTTGAAAATAGTCTTTGATCTATAATCACTCACATCTATTCTCAGAAATTATACACTGAGCCTTATAGCATTAAGCTTATCTTTCCTATGTGAAATTTACAGAAAAATCAAAGTTTCATTTTATATATCTATCTTTGAGAGATATTTATTGTAAGCTTTCTTTGAAAACAAAAATACCATTTCATCTTGTAAAAGTGTTGCAAACACCGTGTTCTTGAAATCTTGAGAGTGATTGTGAATTACCTAAGATTTGCAAGGGTTTGGACTTGTGAAGTCTATGTAAAATCCGTGGAGGATTGCTCCATTTATAAAGAGGTTGCTAACACCCCTGTGAAGCTAGAAGATAGCGGAAAATCTCAAGTGAAGCTTGAGGAGTGGATGTAGGCTTGGTTGAATAAATCTATTTGTCTCCTCTTCCCTAATCTCTTTACTTTCCTACTACTGCTATAGCTATCTAATATTCATGTGTTAATCATTTGATTTACTCTGTATGTTAGTTATACTTCATTATTATTTTGCTTGATCATTTACTGCTAAGTTCATCATTGTGCTCGTTAATAATTTGTTGTACTAATAGTTAATTTTATTGGGGTATTATTAATTTTAATTTGTAGAAACCTAATTCACTCCCCTCTTAGGTTGCTTTTTGGGTAACAAGCATGAATTAATTCGAGACACGTTGAAGCTCTCAAGGCCTTTCCAACTGGAAATGACTTTCTGGTTTGTTTCCAATAGATGCACCCTTCACATAATTTAATGGAACCAATTTTCGGTAGTCCAAAAACCATGCCTATTTCATTTAGCAATTTCAGACCCTTGATGTTGAGATGCCCGTATCGCAAATGCCATAGCTTCGAATCATCTTTTCCACTAGTAGCAAATACAAAATTCTCCATGCTTGAAACTTCCAATGGGAACATTTTGTTTTAAGTCATGTTGATATTACTCAACGTATGGCCTGAGTGCTTGTCTGTAATAACACATGCATCATTGTCAAATAATATGGAATATCCAACAGCCATTAATTGCCCAACACTTAGCAAATTATATCCCAAATTAGGTATTATGCAAGAGCTTTACGTTACCATGAGTAGTTTTAATGCCCACTGTACCTTTCCTTTCAACTTGCATTTCTTTGGCATTTCCAAGTTTCACCTTCAACTTCTGCGTCTCATCAAGCTCTTTGAACAAGAATTTCATCCCTGTCATATGATTCGAACAACCGCTGTCTACGAACCACACATCGCTTGACTTATTGTTAGGATCAAAATGAGTCATAAAAAGCTTACTGCTTTCTTTTCTATTTTTTGCTGCATAATTCACTTGCTGATCTTTGTACCAACAATCAGCTTTTATGTGACCATACTTCTTACAATGATAGCATTGAACACCATTCTTGTTGTTTCTTTGCTCACCGGACTGCCGCTGCTCGTTGAAGCGACCTCTACCTCTTTTTTTACCACGACCACGAAATCCTCCTCTTCTACGGCCTCTGCTTGTCGAACTGTCACTTTCTGCAGCTTTGGTGACTATGTCCTTCACTTGAAATGACTTTTCTTCATTCTTTTCAAGTGATTGATTAATTCTTGTCTCATGTGATTGCAAAGACTCCATCAATTCATCAAAGGAAAAAACTGACAAATCCTTAGATTCTTCTATGGCAGCAACAACATGACCAAACTTCGGAGTCAAGCTTCTCAGTACCTTTGCAACAACCGTTTTATCAGAAATCTTCTCGCCGTACGATTGCATTTGACTGACTATTGTCATTACCCGAGATAGAAAATTAGCAATTGATTCTCCACTCTTCATGTACAAGGTTTCACAGTCACGTCATAGTGATTACAATTTCACCACGATATCTTTTGAATCACCTTGAAACTCTTTCGGCAGAGTTGACCGAGCTTGCTTCGATGTGGTTGCCGCTGCAATTCATTAGAAGATGCTGTCATGAATAGCCTGCTAAATAATCACCAACGTCTTAGAATCTTTCTTCTTATTCTCCTTCAATCTCGTTTCTTTATCAGGATCTGCGTAGCCTTGTTTTACCAAATCCCAAAGATCTTGAGATTTGAATAGAGTCATCATTCAGATACTCCAGAATCCATACCCTTCTCCTTTAAAGACATGGATGAGTGGTTGTGCAGCACTCATTGCACTGTCGCTGCTGGCCATTGGTTTTTCTCTCAAGTGTTTCACTCAACTCACGTGTTTACCCTCTCTACTCACTCTCTCAACTTGGCTTTGATACCAAATTTGTTGGAGACAAAAATGAATAACACTGAAACAGAGGCAAAACAAAAAAAACAAAGGCAAATAAAGAAATATAGAAATTCTGAACTTTCGGATCGTCGTATTCAATTCACAAAATATTGAAGCAAATGTGTCTATATATAGGCTTACAACCAAAATAACCAAACAGAATTTTACGGACCACTAAGTCACTAACGCCAACCCACTACAACCACTCGCATAATATTAGCAACAATATCAACTACCCAATTGACTAAACAAACTTAGAGAAATACGGACACTACTAACAACCCGAAGAGACCGAGTTAGAGTTTGAATCATTCTTCAACACACTGAAGGTGGGGATGGAAGTTACCGAAGAAAGTTTGCAAGAGTGGAGGTCCACAGAGTAAAGTTGATATTATGGTGGGTGCTTAAAGAAAAAATAAAGACAAGCAAAATTGACATGTGATATGAAAGCATATTTTTTATTGCATTTACAGATATGAAGGATAAATTATATTAGGTAAATTACACGTGCTTCTCTTGAGATTTGGATTTAATACATATTATCCTTTGATATTTGAAAAATTACACTAACCCCCTGTTATTGTAATTATTTAGACGAAATGAAAATATTGAACTTATGCACTATTTCTTTTCTTGTTTTGTTTTACTTCCTTTGCTTTTTTTCCCTTTCCTTTGCTTTATTTTTTTTTTCCAATGTAATTTCATTTATTTTTCTACTAGGAGTTGTTGCATTTTATATAAGTAGGAGAGTTTTTGAAATAAAATTATTAACAACAGCGGTGAGAATGTAAATTTCAAAATGTCAAGAGATGGAATGTAATTGAACTAAATCTCAAGAGGTGTCAGTGTAATTTACCCATTTACATTTTATCCCTTTGAACCAGAACCATCACCATCACCATCACCATCACCATCACCTTAAACTATCAATTTATATCAATGTTAATCTTCTGAGTAAAAAATCAAAGTAAGTCTTGTATAAGGAATTTCAAATACAGCGTTGTTATTTAGGTTCAAAAATTTGATCCTCTTTGTAGATCTAGTAATGTGTCAAGAATTATTTTTTTGACATATTATTAAATTTAAAAAGTGAATCTAAAAAATGAACTTTTATATCACTTTTCTTTCGGATATTATGAAATGCTGTAAATGATTTAAACAAAAGTCATTAAAAAAAATTCAATTTGATTTAAAATCAGTGTAGTCCAAAGTAACTTAAAAAAAAAAAAAAAGCAATTGCCCCGGTCTTTCTTCCAAGAATTTTACAATGGCAATAATCTGAATTTTTTTTTTAATTTTTTTTTTAAAATACGATTTAATATCCGCATTCTTTTGGAGGGTTTTCTTCTTTTTTCAATCCTCTCTTGGTCCCCAGGTCAACCAGCCATCCGCCATCGCAGTGCGCCGATAATAGATTTATGTTTGTGAAACAAAATTGGTACAAAGCGACAGAGTAAAGGTATTCTCTGTCTACCTTCCTATCTCACTCTGTGTGTTTCTCTCTCTGATCTTAGCCTTATTTCCTTCTTTCCCCTCTCTTTTATCCTTTGATCTTGCTTTATTCCCTGTAGTTTACTTTCTAGGGACCATGGATGTTATTATTTCTTCATTAAGAGCATAATATTTCTAGTGTATAAATGGAGAATCTAGGGTGTCAAAACCTAACGGTTGGGGATTTGGGAAGAATTTGGAAAGTAAAAAGAAAATGATAAGGACAATGAATAAAAATATATCTATATTTCACATCATTTTACATATATTTTCTGCTTCTTTTTTTTAAATCCCTTTTCGAATCCCCCAACCAAACACATTTGGTTAGATAATCTACAGATTTTGAGTTTTTGCTTCTTGGACAATGAGGGTGCTTTATTTTATTTTTTGCTTTGTTTGAGGATTTGTAAAGTTGCTACCTGAACGCGATGTTTGGATTAAGTGATTTGGAGAGAGAAGAAAAGAAATGAAAATATGTATTTCTCTTACTTATTTGGATAACTTAAGTGGAGAGAAACGATGAGAAATTGAGAGAAACGGAGAGAAATTTATTTATCTTATAACCCTCATTTTCAATCTTCCCAAAAGTGGAGAGATTGGAAGAGAAAAGAAACTAATATTTTTATAATACCAATTTTGTTCATGTAAAAATAAAAGAAATAAAATGATTGAAAATGTAAAAAGATTTTGGTAATATAACATAAAATAATTTATTTTCTTTTCTCTTATGAAATCTAACAAAACAAGAAGGAAAGAAATCATAATCATTTCTTTTTTTTATTTCTTACTTATCCAAACAAGAAGGAGGGAAATCACAATTATTTCTTTTCTTTTCTTTTCTCTTATAACTTAAGTAATCCTTTCTTTCTTTTCTCTCCTGGATTCCCAAACATAATGGAAGATTCTTTTAAATGGATTAATGCTCTAGTCTTTATAATGCTAAATAGTGGCGGTGCAAATGTGATGCGTTTATAATTTTATATTAAAATTTGGGATTATTATTATTAATTTTTTGGATGGGTTGATGAATGAGTAGAACTGTTTATCATTTTTATTTTTTTATTTTTTTTAAGGTTAAGATTTTATTCAAAACACAAAACAAGTACAAAGAACAAGGATAGAAGGAGAAACATCCCAATCCAAGCGAGTTTGCCAATTAATAAAGGAGTTCTTCACATACCTCAAAGAACATAGCCTAGCTTTAATTTCTGTAATAGCCAAGGCAAGAATAACATTTGAATGATTGCTAACCTGCCTAAACACTCCTATTCCTTTCAACCCAGACTTGGTATACAACATAAGCTAAGGATAGTTTATGGCTATGAAGCATGGACATGCCAGATTTGATGCCGTGGCGGTGTCGGACACGGGCTGTGTTACATGGACTCGGCACTTTGGGCCGAAGTACCTATGTCGACACAGCACGACACGACACGGGTGCGGTTGTGGGATCTGTGTCAGATTCGCCTGTTCTTTCTCCGACACGGCTCTTTACAGACAGCAAAAGAAATGAAAGAGGGAGAGAAAGAGAGAACTTGGTCGCCTGTTGAAACGGCGAAGACATCAGTTGCTGCTTTGACTGCTTCGACATGCTCGATGCTTGATGCTTGATCTCCATCTCTTGCTCTGTCTTCTCTCTTGTCTCTCGATCTCCTTCTCTGTCTTCTCTCTCGTCTCTCAATCTGTCGATCTCTCTTCCTCTCCTCTCGTCTCTCGATCTCGATCTCCCTTTACTCTCTCTCTCGGTCGCCGACTTCTTTCTTCTCCTCTCGATCTCCCTCTATTTTCTTCTCTCTGTTCTATTTTCTTCTCTTCTTCTTTATATTATATTAGTATATAATATAAATTTCATTAATATAATAATATATAATATTATTAATATCATATAATATTATTCATCCATTATTCATATTACATTTACATTTACATTAACATACAATATAAATTACATTAATATAATAATATATAATATTATTGATCTGGGCAACTCCTGGCGCCTGGATGACGTCTGGTGCGTGTGCAAGGGCCGATAGGTGCTTCCTTCAATATATGACCTCTATCCGAGAAGGTCATCCAAGCAAAAGTGATCCTTAGGGTTGGTTTGGGGTGTCCTAAAAAAGTGCACTTTTTATCTTTTTACGAAAAGATGTGCAGAAAAGTAGAGAGGTGATGTGATGGAAAAAAGATAAAAAGATAAAAAGATGGATTATATAGTAGATGCCAAACCAACCCTTAGATACGTACCCGTACCCGATACCCGTACCCGAGTCCGTGTAACATAGGACACGGGGACGCACCGAGGATACGTACGGGACACGCCAGGTGGCGTATCCCTTTAATTTAATTATTTTTTTTTTGTAGGGGACATGGCGGGGACACGCGTGTCTAGATCTAGACACGGCATAGACATGGCGGAACATAAATCTTTGGGGACAAAGGAGAGAGAGAGAGAGAGAGAGAGACACAAAGGAGAGAGAGTGAAGAGAGTAGACAAACCTATCGCCGTGAAGGAGAGAGAGCGAACCATCGATCGAAGGCGCCGATGCGAACCATCAATCGAAGACGCTGACTCGAACCATCGATTGAAGACGCCTACTCCAACCATCGACATCTAGTCGTCGACGAGGTCCATCCAGACCTTTGAATCGTGATCGTAAGTCCCTCTCTCTCGCGTAATCTCTCGTCCCTCTCTCTCTCGCACTCTTTCTCTCTCTTTCTCTCTCGAACAGTCTATCCTCTCTCTCTCTTGAACAGTCCCTCTCTCTTTCGCACTCTTCTCTCTCACGAACAGTCTATCCTCTGTCTCTCGCACTCTTCTCTCTCTCTTGAACTCTCGTTTTTTATTTATTTATAATAATAGGTTTATATATATATATCTTTGTAAAACTTACTCTTTTTTTTATTATTTATAATAGGTTTATATATATATATCTTTGTAAAATTGTTTTTTTTTAATTATTGGTTTATATATATATATATAACTTTTTTGTGGATGGATAATCTATTAGTTTATTTAAATATAATGGTTATATTTATTGAATTAATATTATTATGTTAGTTTTTGTTAATCTACACAACAAATAAAAATATATTTAAAAAGAAAAAAAATTGCCGTGACCGTATCCCCATTTTTTGAAAATTGCCATGTCCATGTCCGTGTCTGTGTCCGTGCTTCTTAGGTTTATGGGCTATACTTTTTGGTAGAGTTTGGCTCACTAGAATGAAGTGGAATCGAATGATCATTCCATCAAAATCTTCATTCCCATGTTTGGTTAGCCTAAAAATATAATGAATAAATGGAATCACCATTTCATTTCATTCCATTCCTTTTCACTCCAATGAATCAAATAGAGTGTATTAAGAGAATGATTAGAGCAATTGATCCTACACCGTTGAAACTCATCACTCCAGCACAAGATACCTCTGCTGGACTGATTAATATTCAAAAGTTGCTTCCAGATGCTCTGACCATATGCTCACTCAAAGAATAAATGGTTATGACTTTCATTTGCTGCATTACACAGTAGACAAGAGGGATCTAGTTGCATACCCCATCTTAGCAATCTGTCTCTGGTAGATAATCTTTGAAGACAAACCAACCAAAGAATGAAAGATCATTTTGTGATAGCTCTTTTAAACCAAATGATGTTATGCCATGAAGCAGTAGGTTTTTTAGCTCCTCTAACAATTTTGGGTAGTTTTAGATGTGATAATTATTGAATGCAGAGAGCATTTTTTGAAAAGCAAAAAACGTGACAGCGTTCACACCAAATAAGGTGTATGCTTTATATAATAAAACAGATGCCAACATTCACACCAAATGAGATGTAAGCTTTATATAATAGAATAGATGGATAGATAGAATATATTGTTTTGAACCTGTTTTGGAAAATTGTTCATTTTTGTTGTTTTGGGTGAACCACCCAAGCACTGTGTCAAAACCGCTTGAATAAATCTACTGACCCGCTGGTTTGGGCGAACTGCGGTTTGGTGGTGGGTGAAAAAACTCAATCATCAATTGGTGGTGCAGTTGAGATTTTATCTCCAAACCCGCTCCACACCCACTCTTGCGCCCCCTAATTGGATTGGTTCAGATTTTGATTGTTTTCTAATCAATTGGATTTGGATTATGCCAAATTCGATCTGAATCTGGTCTGCCAACAGGCCTAATTGAACACTCTCTCGCAAGAATTGTCCTCAGGTGCAAGGTTGTCATGCCTATCTTTTCCAGCTTTTTACTGGGTTGGACCTTAAAAACCAGCAAATGTAAGAGCTAGCTAGTTCTGTTACTTTTTTAACATGTATAGCTACAAGTAAGGATCACAAGGCATTTGCTCATTCTTTTCCTTCTTGGGTATCGTAGTTTTTTCAATTTTTTCCAAAACCAGTTGTTTGCAGAAGGAACAAGGACAAGAACACCAAGTATACATGGATCAAGCAGAAGAAGATATTCAGAAACATTAGTAGGTCAAAGAGTACTGAATTCCATTCAATCGTGTGGTTGATCAGCAAGTAGAATTTAGCATGCAGTGAATTTAGCACCCATCATTAATTGCATTTTTGTGAGACGCGGGATTTATAGTTTTATTTTTTATTTTAATATTTGCAGTAGCCCATAAATACCAAGCTTATTGTTATTAGAAGACACCTTTGATATTAGAATAATATTGAATTGTGAGTTTTGGCTATTGGATTTATTTATTTTTTCTATTTTTATTTTTTCGTTGCTTGTTATTTTTCCTTTACCATCTGCCATCAAGGACCTTACAACTCCTGACTTCAGCACAATCAAATCATTCACTCTAGTTTCAATAATAACAGCAGAAGGGGAAAAAAATACATTTCATATGGCAATTTGGCATGTCAAAGCGAAAGGTTAACTTCAATTGCATACTATATGCTACAAAACAATTTGTATGGCTATCAACAAATGGATTACAAAATAGGAGGTTTTATTTATGTTTATTTTTATAATTAATGTTGAGCCTTAGGATATACATGGAGGATTTTTTTTGGGTCTTCCAAAATCAAATAGTGTAAAAATTTTGGACCTTGAGAAAATTGGCGGCATGATTATAATTTGGAATATAAAGATTATAGAAAACAATTATAGACGGTAGGGTTAGTCCAACGTTTTTGCGTAGTGGGGGAGGGGGTTCAGGATTGCAAAGTGACTTCAGTGTGAGATTTTAGTAGTTTAAGCCACTCTATTTAATATATGCATAAGTGGATAGGATGAAGTTAGATGCATTATCAACATGCAGACGTTCTTAACTGTGATTTACAAATTTTTGTGAATGCAATTTTGAAAATCATGCTTGCGTTAGTCTTCTTGCTATGTTGCGAGTGAGTTTAAGGAAATTCTAGGTGTGTGAGATTGAGAGGGGTTGTAGAGATGGAAGGGAGAGAAAAGTATTGGGAGTGGGGGTAGTGGGTTTGCTTCAGGGCTCAATTTCCCTTGAGCATGGAAATAGAGATTGTTTAAGTGCTCGGGTATTAGTGTCAAGTTTGAGTGTTTTTTAGTCTGATGATTGTATTTTTTCTCTTGCCTGCAAACATAGGCAAGTTTGTGCCAAATCATGTAAATCTCTGTATATTTTTCTCTTTAGTGTGTGTGTGAGTGTGCTTCTGTTTACATTCGTGGAATCAATAATCCCCAACACCTCCTTGGGATAAACTTTAATAACTTCATACTGCAAGCTTGAAGTTTTAACTTTCTAATTGAGTAAAAATACCAACATGTCACATGTTTTGCAATCCAGTGATAAGCTTCATCATTTAGAAGAAAAAAAAATCCCATTCGCTTCATAGAGAAGTTTTAACCTTTTATAGGGTCTCATATTATGCAAGTGTTTCTTTAAAATACTATGAAGTATCATATTTTTTTATTTAATGACCGCCAATCTCTCTCTCTCTCTCTCTCTCTCTATATATATATATATATATAGTATCCCCAAGTTAAGAATTCTAGCTCCAACCTGGCTTGGTCATGTCCACACGACAAGCAATTTTTAGGTACTTTAAGGCATTTGTCACATGGTGTCCTACTAAATTATAATCGGTTTACATGGTGAAACTCATTTACATTTATACTTGTGTTTGGCCTAATAACATAGAAAGTGACACTTGGTGATTAGCATAGTAGGGTACAGAATCTGTATCTCAAATGACGCTTCAAATTGTCAGCCATGTAAAAAGTACACGACCTCTTAGGATTCAAAGTTGTTAGCTGATGGAATCATTAACAAATTGGAGGTCACTTTGTGTACATGAATCTGAAATCTTTCGGACATGTCAAAAAAAAAAAGAAAAAAACTTCCATACAAAATGAAGAGGAAGAGAATATTATAAAAAGAAAGGAGGATCCCATCAACGAAGCCTCCTTCTTGAGGTCCTCTTTCTCTATGCAAATCGATGGTGCACCCGATGTGAATGTATGTGGTTGTTTCTTTCTTTCTATCCCTTAAAATCTGAAATAGCATTTAGATTTTATTATGTTGTTTTTTATTTTTATTTTTATTTTTATTTTTATAACTATTGTTTCCTTAATTTTGCTTTTCCTTTTTGGTGGTGGCTAGATGGTGCCTAATGGGACTTCAGAGATCCAACAAGTTGAACAAACCAGCAAGGCAGATTCATCAAGGAAAGCAAAGGAAATTGCAGCAAGAGAAGGAATAACAAGGCCCCCACTTAATATCCTAGCGATTTTGAAAGATACAAATATATCAATTGACGCGTCTTCCCTAACAAGCTGTGTGAGCAGCTCTACACTGGAGTATACTTAAAGCCCAACAAACTGGCAAGTTCTATTTAAAGCCCATTTCATATATGAACTAGTCACACTATTATCTCAAAATCAGTATAATTTCATATTTCATAGTGATGGATTGAACCTTAACTATGAAATCCAAAAATATATGCCACCCATATATAATGCTTTTTTTTTTTCTTCCCCCTTTTTTGGTTTCACATTATTGTCATTTATTATTGCTATCCATGCATGTGTTGTCATTACTGCCTATTGCAGAAGTATTTTGTCGACAAGAAATCAAACAAGAACTGCTTTGTGCTGTTTGCAAGAGAACTTAATATCTGTTGGAACGAAGATCCTCGATATTGGAGATGGACCACATTGAAGGAGACAAGGTAAGTTAAATAATGTGTGTAGCTTAAGAACTTCATGTCATGTTATGCTACATTGACTTAAGGCTATTTAACATTTAATCAATGAAACTGATCAATGGCATGACCTAAAGCAATAGGGCCTGACTCTGAGTTACTTCTTCAAGGAACATTTGTTCATGAAATGGGCAAATCGTATATATATATATATATATTAGTTGTGCAGGAAACAAAAATTTGTGGTTCTGGACTTATTTATTATTTATAATGAACATGGACAGTTTTAACGTTTACCTGGTTTGGCATGCAGTGGTGAAGAGATTGAAGTGGCTGAACCATTACAGGTATGTTGGTTAGATATTAGAGGGCAATTTAATGGGGCAATTGATCTCTCACCAGGAATAGTTTACGAAATTGTTTTTGTTGTGAGGATGATCAAATATCAAGATTTCTCATTAAAACTTACCATCGTTCTTCCGAATTCAAAAAAGCTAACATGCAATGAAAGTTTAAATGAAAAGCCTTTAGGAAGTTGGTTTGATATCCAGTTGGGTGAGTTTAGAATGTCACCAGAAAACGTTGGAACGATGGAATTCTCTCCGAAGGATCATGCTGAACTGTGGAAGAGTGGGCTTATTGTGAAATGTGATATCATTTGACCGAAGAAGGAGCCAGAGTAAAATATTTTACAGCATTGCTAGGAATAAATTAGTTTATTTATTTATTTATTTTAATGTGTTGTTTATTAGGTGTCAATATGTTTAATCAATATTTTAGGTACTTTGAACTGGATGCTAAACTCTTCTATATCTAAGCAAGGGATGTGTGACCCGCTTGTGTAGTAGAGGTGCAACTTGGGCAGGTTCGCTCGGTTTGGAGGTTTAGCCCAAATTGTGTTTGGCAATGCCCCAGCCTGCCCAAGCTCGACCATCAACCCGAGCTTGGCTGTCCAAGCCCGGACCGAGCTTCATAATCTGAACTCGGGTTAGTCCGAATTGCCCAAATTTCACAAGAAATATGATGACGTTACCCTTTTTTATCCTGTCATATTGACAGGAGAAACTAGGAAAAAACTTAAGTTAAACATGATTTTTATAGATGCATACCCTAATTAAGCATTGACCACCACAATCCAATAAGCAGTTAATTTCATCATTATTCAAACTTCCGTAAATGTAGTAGCAGAATGCATCCAAATCTAAAATAGAGGACTAGTAATGGTGCATTTCAGTGGATCTGAACCATAGCCCAAAATGATCAGCATCTTCATGATTAAACTATTGCAATTCATGGATGAAGGCTAGAATAAACATTATGTTATCAGTATACAAGCTAGACTAGTAAAATATTAATCAAGATACAAGAGTATAATTGGATTGCTTACTTGGAATCCTTAAGAATAGGAATATCTATACAGATGGAATCCTTCCTTGATTAAACTTCGTGGAAAAGAATAGGTAGGGTTTAGTGTTTACTTTTAATCTAATGGCCCAAATACAGGATTCTAATCTAAGGGCCAAAGCCCAGCAAAAAAATAAAATGACATATTTATACATATATAACTTTTATAATATATAAAATGCAACTTGGGTTCGAGTTACTCAGGTTACACACAGCCTCTGTCCAGACACAGCCTCTGTCCAGGCCCAACCCAAATTGCAATTCGGGCGTAAAAAATTTGCCTAGACCTGCCCAGATTACAATATATTGTTGCCTAAGCCCTAAAAAAACTCGGGCTGGGCACGGGTTGCTCGGCTTGAGCCGAGTTGCACCCCTAATGTGTGGTGTAATAAGTGAAACAAAACTTTTTGTATAATGCTTGATATATATATATATATATATATCCTAATTTTATATATGAGATGGCTTCATCAAAATATATATAGGAAAATGTTAATTCTTATTCAATTTTGATCAAGAATCATGGCATGGGATGGTTGACATATAGGTAGTTAAATGTCATTTTAACGGACATTATGTTTTAAAATTGCAAGTCACAATGCAATATTTTGTATACAAATCTTATATATTTCTTTTCTGTTGGTATCTTATTTTTATGAGTTTAGAAAAGGAGAATCGTTAAGCAACGATGGCAAAGGCATGTTTGGTAATCATTTCGTTTTCAATTTACAAAAATTTTAAAAATTGTCATAAAAACTTGTTTGGTAATTTTTTTTGATTTATAAATGGTTGTCTCAGTTTGTAAATTTGAGGAAAAAATGTAAACTCATTTTTGGTTTTTAAATAGAAATTTAAAAATTTGACTAACAATTTTTTTTTTCAATTATTATTTTTTTTCAAATAAAATTTTTCAATTAATTTTTTTTTCAATTAGTTTTTTTTCAATTAATTTTTTTTTTCAAATAATTTTTTTTTCCAATTAATTCTTTTTTCCAAGTATTATTTTTTCAATTAATTTTATATTTCAATTATTTTTTTTTCCAATTAATTTTTTTAATTATTTTTTTAATTATAATGTGTATGATCTCATTGTCATAAATAATAAAAAATAAATATAAATATTTTAAGCCTAATCAAACATATTTTTTAGTTTTTGTTTTTAAAATTTTTCAAACATTTTTGTTCAAACCAAACGCATTTGTAGTTTATGTTTTTTTAAAAATAAACAAAAATCAGTTTATAAAATTTTTGTAAATATAAACCAAAAACATAAATGTTACCAAACACTAGTAATCATACAAATATAAATTAAAAAACCATTGCCACGCATTAAATTATGTTGTCATGCAATACCTTTTTTTTTTTTTAGACAAATGTGATTTAATTGACTATTGATATCCAATCAATTTAATTTTTGTAGGAATAATATGCTCGACGAGTCTTACAAAATGAATAATTTGAATCGTCGAGGCAGGCCCATCCCAAAGTAGGCCCAAAGTGGCCTAGACTCAACTTATGTCCAATTAAGGACCGGAGAGGATCTGCTTTCTAAAATTTTAGGGAAAATTATAGAAAAATAGTATGAAGAATGAATAATTATAAAATAAGGAGAAATCTAAAATAAGTGCATATGATATGGAAAAACTGTTTTTGGCAAAACATGGTAAAAAATTTTGTTGTTGTCCTTCCATTTTTTGCCCTAATTCCTTTCTTTCCTCTTTTCCTCCTTCCTCTCCACCCTCTCTAGTTGGTGGCCACCTTCTCAACCGTCACCAATCGTAGCCCCCTTTGACTCTTTCTCAGCCCCTTTATTCACTCCCATCATCGTTGCTGCTTCCATCCCTAACCTCCGATGACTTTTCAAGCCCTTTTCTCGTTGCCTCCACCGTTACCCCAATACTTGCCTTCCCTTTCTCTTTTCCCTCTTTCTTATCTTTCTTCCCTTCACTCTCTTCAACCAGATTTGGAAAAATCAAATCTGATTGCAATAGTGAGTGTGATCAATTGCGTGCTTTGTCGCATGATCTCTCTCACACTCTCTCATAATTCTCTCTTTTTCTCTCTCTCTCTCTCTCTCACATTGTGGAAGGGGCTCGGGGTAGTAGGGTGTAGACACCCCATTTTGTTCAGCTTTAAGATTTGGGCATTTTCTTTCGAAAAAAGAATATTCTATTTTATGAATTTCTTGGCAGAAAAATCGAATTTAAGCTTTAATCCCAACCTTCACTTGTTTTGACGAAATTATTTTAGACCGCTAAAATATATTTTTAGTTCATTAATTTGTAGTATTTAATAATTTTAGATGATTTTTGATATTTTTACATAACAATGATCACACCCCACTATCACCACTCATCATCCATTTTCCTAATCACACCCCACCATCTCCCCCTCATCATCTATTTTCTTAATCACACACCACCATCTCCACTCACCATCTACTTTCCTAATCACACCACCATCAACACTCACCATCCATTTTTCTAATCACACACCACCATCATCACTCACCATTTACATCCATTATACATCGTCTCTCACCTCCATTATATATTTTCTTCCACTTTCTCCATTGAAAACTTTCTTCAATTGCCTATATCATTAGAACTATGAATAAGGTGGTGAAAATTTTTGATTTGAGAGAGGTCTAAGCTTTGATGAAAGAAAGAGTTTGTTTTGTCAAAATTGAGAGAAAATACAAAAGTAAGATATAAACCTCCATTTTATTATCTTTCACTAATATCTATTTATATACCACCTAAAACTTCACTAAACCTAAAACTTGAATTTTCTTATTGAGATTTCAAAAACATACTCCACAACCTTAAGGGTGCTAGGAAGAGAGTTTGAAAATCAAAAAATTCATCATTTCCTCCAAAGGTGCAATTTTCTCATCTATTTTATTTCTATTTCTCTTGTCTTTAAATATGTGATATAACTTGTAAAAATGATGATTGGTTGAACCACCTACCCTTAGATGATGTAGTTTCTTTAATTTCTTGTCTTTTATTTTTTGTTTTCTCATGTTCTTAAATTTTATTTTCATAATTTTCTTATATTTAAATATGTGATTTAACTTGTAGAATGATTGGTTGAACCACCTATCCTTAGATGATGCAGTTTCTTTAATTTCTTG